GACCGGCGTCCAAGGCAGGTGATAAGGTGTGTGTGGTTGGATTTGGGACTTGTTCGTTTCTGCGGGGGCCCGTTTCCGAGGCCAGTGATCTGTTGTGTGTAGGCGACACAAAAGGGCAAACCGCTGGAATGTCGAGCTACTGAAAATGCGTTAGCATTTTTCATTATAAGTCAAAGACAAAATCGACCCTTATAGACAGCCCAAAAGGTAAACTAAAGTAAGCCAAACTCACTTTATTAAAAACGTAATCTAAACTAAAGGAAAAATAATAAAACGTAATAATAAACTGAAAACTAAATGAAAAACAGAACTAAAATATAAATAAGTTAAGTAAACCAAACTAACTAAACTAAGATAAAGTAAACTAGTGAAGATTTTTACTCGAAAAGCAACCGCACATGGGTAATAAATCTAAAACTATACAACAAGTAAACAAAAACCTAACTAAACAAACTAAGCAAAGGTAATCTATAAGAAAACTAAATTAAGTTAACTAAAAAGAAATCTAAAACTATGATAAATCGAATGAACCTCAATCATAAACTAAAATCTAAACTAAAATTGTATAAAAAAATAAAATAAAATATAAATAAGTAATGAATGTAGCTAATTAAATTTCCCTTTTTATTTATGGCGCGTTTTTTCGCTGCAATAACATTAGATGGTTTAAATAATTACTGGGAGGTAAACAAGCCATCTACCTACTGAACTAACATTGTAAATACGGTTTGAAGTTTAAATGAAACGCGGTGGCTGTGCTGGACCAACATGCAGGCCCGGTTAGGGCACGGCGGGCATTATTGGGGCTGCGCCACCATAACGAGTGGGAGAGAGGAGGGTTCGGGTATGGTTAAGCACAGGCTCACGTAGCCTCGGTCATTTATGCCAAATCCTGGCTTTTTCTTAATACTGGGCCCAGATGTGTGGAGGAGGAGACGGTGCGGTAGATACTGTGCAAGTCACTATCCCTGCTGTGGAGCATCGTCGGTATGCCTCGTCAGAATCGGCAGTCAAACTGCCATCAGAAAGGTGTATGGCTGTGCTGAAAAAGCAAGTTGCAGAAATGATTGCTTGCGGCAATATGGTTCCTGTTCACATCAGCCTATGCCAAATGAGGATTCATAAAACCGCGGAGAAATATGTGAATAAATCTACAAAAGCTACTGAAATCCAGGTTCAACGCAGCGTGTTCGTCGCCTTCCAAATAATCAATATGCCCATCTTCAAATCCACCGTTCGCGGGTTCTTCTTCCCCCTATTCGATCCTCTCTTGCTAAACGGGACTTGACTTTTGGTGGTAGCAATCTACGGGAGTCATGGTTCACGGGCCCCCGATCCGCAAACAAGTGCAACGATTGGCCCAATCCATATTCGGTACTGAGACTCAAGTTGGCCAAAGCAAGTCGTCATTTGAGGAATGGACAGGCCACCGCGTCATCCTACGCCAACATCGGAAGGCCAGCTGGCTGAGCAATCATCACGCTCGAGTCCACCATGCGTGATGAAAGTTCAGCAAGTTAGAGCCCGCAGGCCGTCTAACAGACTATCAACGCGCAAGAAGGCAATTAACGTTAATTGTCACTATATATTTGCAGTAATGACTGTATCCTATAAATACTGCAGACCCCTGTGCATGTATTACCCGTTTCTGCTACCGTTTTCTGCTACCGTTTTCTGCTAACGTCTCTGATGAGGAATCCGCGACGGATCTCGAAATGTCAGGTGAATGAAAGCATTGTTTCAGCGATCGAGTCGTCTTCTTTTCAGTTACTTCCTGGACTGGCATCTTCGCTTGTACTGACAGTCTTTTTTCTAAGACTTCCTTTTCTAGTAAGTTTGCATATAAGGACAGCTACCACGAGTGCTTTCCTCACGATGAAATTACGCGTATTTTTCGCAAACTCTCCACT